TCGTCGGATATCTCTCATCGTATAGCCGTTCTTCTGCAGCACATCTTCTAGGAATCTTTCTTCTTTTCTTAGGTTCTCTTTATCGCATATCCTCTCTGCTCGCTGGAATAAGGCTTGAATCACGGACCTCTTCTGTTGTGGGTGGTGGTGGGATGAAGCCTGCAGGTACCTATTCGTATGTGTCTTCTTTCGATATACTCCCAGTTCCATGCCCCCATCTGTTTTCCTAGTGACTAACACATCCAGGAATGGCAACTGTTTTGCATTTTCTGTTTCCATGGTAAATTTTATCATGGGGTGCTGTGAATTGAGGTGGTCTAGAAATTCCTGGAGTTCCTCTTTTCCATGTTGCCAGATCACGAAAGTGTCATCGACGTAACGGAGCCATAGCATCGGTTTCCAAGGACTCTTCTTTAGCGCCTCCTCTTCAAACATCTCCATGTACATTTTTTTTCAAAAAACGCACGGCTTAACTCGAAAGATTTTAGTTCTAGGTCTAGTGCTAGTTTTAGTTTAATTAATATCGGCCGTGAAAGCCTTCGTACTTCTGGCAAAATAGGAATTTATAAAACCTGCATAAGGCCCATTATGACCTACGGTATAGAGACCCGTGAAGATATCAACAAGACAAAAAACATACTGAGCGTTACTGAAATGAAAACTTTAGGAAATATCTTAGGCTAAACGAGAAAGGATGAAATAAGGGACACTAACATCCGGGGACAGTACAGAATAGGTATAGCACGTTGTACGATGGGGCCATCGAGATATACTATGAGCTAGACAACGAGCCGGCCTCCCCCACCCCATAACGGCAAAAAGCTTCAACGTAACATACGTAAAATTTATTTATTTATTTTTTTTTTTTCCTAACTATAATAACTTAAATATGTAATATTTGGTATTTTTCATCATTATTGAATAATATTATTTGAATTACTTAGTAAATATTGACTAAATTCATGCTGAATTATATCCATTTGTATTTCTTGCCGTTATAGGCAAGATATATATAGATATATATATTTCTCGACCAAGCGAATATCGTGCGCACGTACTCCAGTAAATATATATGTATCTCGATGGATGGGGCACACAGCGACAAAATGATTGGAAGTCATGCGAAGAGAATGGGCAAGCATAGACTATGGCGTATAGTAATGAAGGGAGAGAACCAGCAGAAAGCCGTCATCAGGAAGATCACCAAAATGATGTAGGACAGCTGGCAGTGCACCTTCCAGAATGTCCTTAGACAGCGACTTCAAAATCTGATGAAGAAGATCTGCATATTGTCAGATACAATTTGAGGTTATGAATCAATCAAATGAATTTCACAAATATAAATTGCATCTAGTCGTATCTAGTTAGGACGGTTCAGATTTGTAATACTCATTTATAGTTAACATAGATAACACAAACTATTTGCTTCATTACTAGATGTTAGAAACCAAAGGGGTTAGAAATGTAATTCTCTACTATTTGGAACAAAAACTAATATTTTGTCACTTAGAACCTTTCAGTTTAGTGGCAGCTTACAAGAAAATGCAGGTGGGTAGTATTTAGCTGGAATAAAGTACTTAAAAACGAAGATTGTCGTTTTATTAATAAACGCTATAATTTACAAATCCACATAATACGTATTACTTTCATTTCCATTTTGAAATTGTTCAAACTTTTTGTTTAAACATGTGCACCAATATTTATCGATTCCTGCTTCTTTGCAAGTTCGGTAATGAGAATGTTCTCGAAAAATTGAGTTACAATTTCGACAAGATCTTGCCGGCTTCGAGATGTAACCATTGCGGGATTTTTCCAAAATATCCTGAAGAGTAACATAAATATCATAAGGTGAGATCAATTTTTCTCGATTGCTTAATAACGAATTGTATTGTTCTGGATAAATTGTTCGAAAAACTACCGGAACGTAAACGTATGCGAACGGAGTTCTACTTTCGAACCAGCCGTAAATATTTTTCGAAACGTTATCATTAAAATAACCATTTGTGCCTAAAAAGAAAATAAATGTATCTTCTAAAAGATTCTGAAGCATTTTGAAAAATTCTAAAAGAATTTCATCCATTCTTCCTGGAGCGTTAAAATCGTATTTAGTAAATGAGCTCAAACAAAATGTTCCGAAATAGTTTCTTTTGAGAAAAGTTTTAACAAATTCTAATATTAAATTTAAAATTCTTTCCGATGCCGAAAAGGAAGCTGTGCAATTAGGCATATTGTTCAAATATGTTGTATTCAATCGATTCGAACTCATTATGTAACTTCTAAAGTAATAAGTTGTCGGCTGCTCAAAAAAACCTAAACACTTTTCATTAAAAAAATGCTTTTCGGAGTAATCTTGAGCAAATGCTGTTACATATCCATTTTTTTCGAAATCATTCCACACAAATGGATAATCGTCAAAGAATTTTTTTGATGGATTACCGAATTTCATTCGTGCAAATCTATGCGAAAATCCCGTTAGAAGTGGAAGTATATTTTGAAAATTATCTTTGCCCACTTGATTAAAAATATTTAAATTTACATAACCACTGTTTATTAAAAAGCGATGGGTATTTTGTAAGTGTCTTAAAAAGTTATTTTGCGACAAACTATCCACTAAAATTATTAAAACGTTGTAACCAATCAGAGGAGAGGATACCTCTTCGTCGGTTCGATTTAAGTTTGTATCTATAAAAAATCCATGAATATCCTCGTAAAGTTTTTTCTTCGTATCGTTCTTATAACAAATCGTTCGAATTACATCGTTTTTTATTTCTGTTGAATTCTCAAAAACCTCACAACTAGATTCGCTAAAGGAATTATCCGGAATTGATTTAGACATATTTCTCGTTATGTTGCTCAGACAACATTCAAGTTCCATCGAATTTTCTAGCAAGAAATCTTTGATGTAAACGTTTATTTTTAAGTTTGTTCTTTCAAAATATACCAAGGGTTCAATTTCTGGGCAAAAATTAATGAAACCCGATTGATTTTTGTAGTTTGATTGCAAAGACCAAGGATCAAAATATGGAACATAGCAGACGTCATTTTCGATTAAGTACTTTGTCATTGGAGCTGAAAAATAAGAATTTTAAGAAAATCCATGTGAAATATTTAGAGAAAATTTACGTATTCGCAGTTTTCGTTCACTGGAAACACAGGATATTTGAAAAAGAACCAAAATTAACATAAAATAAAACATTTTAACGAAATAAATANTGACGAGAGAGGCGATAGAGATTCATCGACATGGGAATAACATGAATAGAGAAGATGGCTGGGAACTCAGCCGCACATGGAAGATGTTGGTGAACTCAACGAAGCCTTGTCCACCCGGATTTGACAAAACAACTTAGTTGATAATTAGACACTAATTAGTTATTAATTACCTTTTCATGTATTTATTGTCAAATTTTAAAACCAATTCGTCACTTCGAACTTGTTTCTGAAGAAGGTTGAAACATGGCATCCGAAACGTTAAACATTTTTTCAAAAAACGCACGGCTTAACCCGAAACATTTTAGTTCTAGGTCTAGTGTTAGTTCTTGTGATAGTGCTAGTGTTAGTTTTAGTTTAATTAATATCGGCCGTGAAAGCCTTCGTACTTATAGCAAAATAGGAATTTATAAAACCTGCATAAAGGCCCATTATGACCTACGGTATAGAGACCCGTGAAGATATCAACAAGACAAAAAACATACTGAGCGTTATTGAAATGAAAACTTTAGGAAATATCTTAGGCTAAACGAGAAAGGATAAAATAAGGGACACTAACATCCGGGGACAGTACAGAATAGGTATAGCACGTTGTACGATGGGGCCATCGAGATATACTATGTTTACTGGAGTGCGTGCTTTGAGCTAGACAACGAGCCGGCCTCTCCCCCCCCCCCCATAACGGCAAAAAGCTTCAACGTAACATACGTAAAATTTATTATTTTTTTTTTTTCCTAACTATAATAACTTAAATATGTAATATTTGGTATTTTTCATCATTACTAAATTCATGCTTAATTATATCCATTAGTTAATACTATTTGTATTTCTTGCCGTTATAGGCAAGATATATATAGATATATATATTTCTCGACCAAGCGAATATCGTGAGCACGTACTCCAGTAAATATATAAGTATCTCGATGGATGGGGCACACAGCGACAAAATGATTGGTAGTCATGCGAAGAGAATGGGCAAGCATAGACTATGGCGTATAGTAATGAAGGGAGAGAACCAGCAGAAAGCCGTCATCAGGAAGATCACCAAAATGATGTAGGACAGCTGGCAGTGCACCTTCCAGAATGTCCTTAGACAGCGACTTCAAAATCAACAGTCCGATAGATTTAGGAGAAAGATGAAGAAGATCTGCATATTGTCAGATACAATTTGAGGTTATGAATCAATCAAATGAATTTCACAAATATAAAATGCATCTAGTCCTATCTAGTTAGGACGGTTCAGATTTGTAATACTCATTTATAGTTAACATAGATAACACAAACTATTTGCTTCATTACTAGATGTTAGAAACCAAAGGGGTTAGAAATGTAATTCTCTACTATTTGGAACAAAAACTAATATTTTGTCACTTAGAACCTTTCAGTTTAGTGGCAGCTTACAAGAAAATGCAGGTGGGTAGTATTTAGCTGGAATAAAGTACTTAAAAACGAAGATTGTCGTTTTATTAATAAAAGCTATAATTTACAAATCCACATAATACGTATTACTTTCATTTCCATTTTGAAATTGTTCAAACTTTTTGTTTAAACATGTGCACCAATATTTATCGATTCCTGCTTCTTTGCAAGTTCGGTAATGAGAATGTTCTCGAAAAATTGAGTTACAATTTCGACAAGATCTTGCCGGCTTCGAGATGTAACCATTGCGGGATTTTTCCAAAATATCCTGAAGAGTAACATAAATATCATAAGGTGAGATCAATTTTTCTCGATTGCTTAATAACGAATTGTATTGTTCTGGATAAATTGTTCGAAAAACTACCGGAACGTAAACGTATGCGAACGGAGTTCTACTTTCGAACCAGCCGTAAATATTTTTCGAAACGTTATCATTAAAATAACCATTTGTGCCTAAAAAGAAAATAAATGTATCTTCTAAAAGATTCTGAAGCATTTTGAAAAATTCTAAAAGAATTTCATCCATTCTTCCTGGAGCGTTAAAATCGTATTTAGTAAATGAGCTCAAACAAAATGTTCCGAAATAGTTTCTTTTGAGAAAAGTTTTAACAAATTCTAATATTAAATTTAAAATTCTTTCCGATGCCGAAAAGGAAGCTGTGCAATTAGGCATATTGTTCAAATATGTTGTATTCAATCGATTCGAACTCATTATGTAACTTCTAAAGTAATAAGTTGTCGGCTGCTCAAAAAAACCTAAACACTTTTCATTAAAAAAATGCTTTTCGGAGTAATCTTGAGCAAATGCTGTTACATATCCATTTTTTTCGAAATCATTCCACACAAATGGATAATCGTCAAAGAATTTTTTTGATGGATTGCCGAATTTCATTCGTGCAAATCTATGCGAAAATCCCGTTAGAAGTGGAAGTATATTTTGAAAATTATCTTTTCCCACTTGATTAAAAATATTTAAATTTACATAACCACTGTTTATTAAAAAGCGATGGGTATTTTGTAAGTGTCTTAAAAAGTTATTTTGCGACAAACTATCCACTAAAATTATTAAAACGTTGTAACCAATCAGAGGAGAGGATACCTCTTCGTCGGTTCGATTTAAGTTTGTATCTATAAAAAATCCATGAATATCCTCGTAAAGTTTTTTCTTCGTATCGTTCTTATAACAAATCGTTCGAATTACATCGTTTTTTATTTCTGTTGAATTCTCAAAAACCTCACAACTAGATTCGCTAAAGGAATTATCCGGAATTGATTTAGACATATTTCTCGTTATGTTGCTCAGACAACATTCAAGTTCCATCGAATTTTCTAGCAAGAAATCCTTGATGTAAACGTTTATTTTTAAGTTTGTTCTTTCAAAATATACCAAGGGTTCAATTTCTGGGCAAAAATTAATAAAACCCGATTGATTTTTGTAGTTTGATTGCAAAGACCAAGGATCAAAATATGGAACATAGCAGACGTCATTTTCGATTAAGTACTTTGTCATTGGAGCTGAAAAATAAGAATTTTAAGAAAATCCATGTGAAATATTTAGAGAAAATTTACGTATTCGCAGTTTTCGTTCACTGGAAACACAGGATATTTGAAAAAGAACCAAAATTAACATAAAATAAAACATTTTAACGAAATAAATAAAACATTATAAATAATGTTGACAGAATAAACTTCAACATTTCTTCCCCCCTCCAACTACTGAGAATTGTCTATTTTATATAATATGTATGTAGAGCTGGGCAGTCATATTTCTAATAAAATTTTACTGAAAAGTGAAAGATAAAAACATCTAACAAAAAACAAAATATTTAATAATTAAAATTATTATTAAAAATTCGGTGTATAATTTGTCCAGGCGGTTCGCAGCAATTCTTTGAGATGTTGATTAGTTAATTGCGAACGATATTTTGTCTTAACTAACTTCATGTGTCACTATAAACTTTCACAAGAATATGTTGTACCAAAAATTGAAAATAGTCAACAAGCTGCTTTCTTTAAATTATGATATATTGTTTCTGGTACCAGTTTCCAAAATGCCCAATTCTCCTCCATTTTTAGTACTTCTAATTCTCCCGATGCTATGTAAATCAGATAGTATTATATCAGAAATTGAAAAACCATCTTGAATTATATCAATTGCAAACAGATTGACAAAAAATGAATTTGAAACTTCTTAGATTTTCAAACCTGGTTTTAAAGTTCGATTTCAACTCTTCAATTTTTTCTTGATGTTCATTAATTTTATCTACCATAATAATAAAGAATATCTTACAGAATATCATCCGTAATATTTTACAATCAAGTAAAATGATATATCATTTTGTGATCTATCTCCTTTGTCTTTCAGTTCTTCTAAAAAAATTCTTGACAATATTTCACACGTTTTCTTATTTTAAATATTTATTTATGATATGTTGGCGATGAACTATACAATGAATGTTTGGATCACTTTTCAAAAGACCAATAAATCCTTGGTTTAAATGTCTATAGATTCGTCGAGCGCTATGCTGAATGCAGTGCAGTTATTTAAATCATGTTTCAAATTATTTTCAAATCTTTTATTTATTTACAGAAATACGACGCTCTCTAGTACGGCATGATGTTCGAATTTGGGTAATCAGTTCCTGCAATTTTTCATCAGTTGGTTCCAGAATGTTAATTAGGTCTACTAAATTTTTTTAAATAAATTTTTCAACATATGGGCGTTTTTCAGGACAATATTCCAATAATAAAACATAAAAACATAATAAAACTTCAATTTTCCTGTTATCTTCATTACTACATGAAGCTAAGAGGCCTTGTTGTTTCTGGAGACAATTTAAACGACATTAATTTTTCTTTTCGCAATTTTGAACTTAGTGGACACTTAATGGAAAACTGCGGATGAGTAGCTTCATAATGTCTATGTAATTTACTTATTTTATAGTTTGCGATGGTACTTTTACAAATAAGACACAATTGTTTACCATTGTATTCGATAAATGCAAAACTTTTCTCCCATTCGCTACGAAAACATCTCATTTTCTTCTTCATATTTTCTTTTTTTATTTTCGGTTGTCATGTATCCTAGTAGCGTAATAAATATCTATTATTACAATAAATAATTGAATAATAACTTACTTGTAAAAACAGTAAAAAGGCTACAATTATAACATTAATACGTCCAAACAAGTACCGGTTGTAAGCGGTTACTAATGGTATTGAGTTAACCGATATCTAGAGACTGTCGGTTCGGGGAATCACATGTCTCACATCGCGGAGCTTGTGACCATGGATGAATATCACAAAAACCAAGGTAAATTAGTAATTTTTGTATACATTTTATATTATAATACACTGTCCTTTGGAGCCGTATTTAATAAAGACAAAGCCGCATTTGCCTATCGTTGTTAGGTAGGTATATACAGTATCACAGTCTGAATATGAGTCAGAAGGGTGAAAATCTCAGAATTAGGAATACTACGCTACAAATGATGTAGATTTAATCTATACGTTGTGTTTAAATTAAGAGGAGCGTTTCAAATCTGTAATCAAAATGAGGGTATTTTGAAAAAGTGTTTGAAAACAAGGCCCAAACGGAAAGGGCTTGTCGAGTTAATTACTATAGTAGACGCCACGAGAGCTGGCAGTAAATCATCGTTTTCCGCTCTTACAAATGCCATACGTAGTTCACAAACCGCTAGAGAGTAATGTGTGTTAGAAAGAGACAGCATTAGTTTAATATGTCTGCTGTACAATTCAAATGGCCATGTCGAAAAAGTACGTCTGTTCTTCTAAGGGATGTAACTCTATAATTATAACCTCAAATCGAAACGTCTCTGAACGTTGTCATGAATCTATTAGTGTTTTCAGAAGCCGAAAATGTTTTCTTTGAAAGGAAAATCACTAAATAATATCTTTGACAATGTTTGAGATATAACCTCCATTACTAACATAACCTACATTTAAATGTATGTGGTGAAATAATCTAAGTCGTACGTCCATATCTTGATTCATACCATTTTTAAGCGATCTGTCACTGCCAGCTTTCGTGGTTTCTACTATACTTTCCATGTGCGGCTATGTTCTTAACTGTTTTCTCTATTCATGTCGTTTCGTTAGTTTATGAATTTTATATATGTATACAAATATGTATATGTTACAGTTAAAGCATTCATTCCGTAAATGTACACATTGACTGGTCAATGCATACATTAACTAATTTATCAAGTTAATTAATGTGTATATAAAATACGAAATGTAAACTTTTACTAGTTGATGTATACAGATACTAATGACGCCCAATTAAAGCTTAAAGTGCGTTTACTAGTATATTACATAACGAAACTCAACCCAACCCAAAATATTGGTAGAGTCACATACACTACCTAGTTTATGTACACATTCACTAGTAAATGTATACACTCGATGACTGATAAATACTTTCACTAAAACGTTACGTTAATATATACATTGACTGGCTAATGTGTACATTAACTGAAATGCACACCTTATCTGTGACATATACATCAAAACCACATTTGTAGCCTAGAGTATATCAGTGTGTCCTTTTCTCGTTTACACAATTAAATTCTGTTCATATTTTCTTATTTCTTGCTAAAGTTTTAGTTTCCTTTATAGTTTTTCCTCTTTTGGTGAAAGTATTTCATCTCTACAGCCTGCAAGCTACTCTTTCCCCTTTTCGTTGGCACCCATTTTTCATAACTGAAAGTTATGTTAGGTCTGTATATCGCTTTGTATATGTTTATTTTCCTTTTTCTCGTTATTTTTTGCTGTCTCAAAACTTGTAGTTTGGCCTATTATCGACTGACTTAAGCTGGAAATCAGAATTTAGTAAGCAATATGAAGGAGCAGCCATGGCATCGCTGTTATCATCAGTGTTCGCACACTTCTACATGGAGCTATTTGAAGAAGCGGTCTTAAAGACCAATCCTTGGAATCCATAGTTATTTCAACAGTCAAGATCCAATGTTAAAGTTCACCTTGAAAAAAGCAAAAGACAACCATCTACCTATCATTCCTCGATGTGCTAGTAAGCAGGACTATTAATGGGCAACTTATACACGGAATGTATCTGAAGAAAACACACGCGAATAGGTACCCACAAGCATCATCATACCACTACCCATAACAGAAAATGTCCGTGATTCACATCCTTTTTCAAAGAAGCAGGAGGCTATGTAACAGAATAAATTTGAAGAAGGAATAACGACTCTTAAATGGGATTTAAAGTGATCAGGAGTCAACAAAAAGGTCGTGCAAGTGTGGTATATACTATACCGGGAATTTCATACAACTGGCAATATATGAATGACGTAACCATAGTTACGAAGCTACTATGCACTTGCACTGTCCCACATAAAATGCAACATAGCTTAATAGTACATGCATTGAGTAGTTTTGCAAAGGAAAAGTTTTGCTTGGAAAAGGAACCATCCTTATGATAACTCTGAGTTTCTGTCTTAAGAGACTAGTACTAGACTGGTACTAGGTCTAGTATTAGTTCTACTTTTCGTTCAATAAAAATATACCACAATCTAACGCTGAATAACAATTAAAACTAGAACTAACACTAGACCTAGAACTAAAAACATTCCGGTTTAGCCATATTGAGAGGCGCGGCTAATTGCGTTCTAGTTCTAGCTTTAATTGTTATTTAGCGTTAGATTGTGGTATAATTTTATTGAACGAAAACTAAAACTAACACTAGACCTACAACATAAGAGAGGTACGGATTTAGCCGTACCTCTCTTAAGACGGCTGGTAGGTGGCTTTCTAGTTCTAGGTCTTGTGTTAGTTCTAGTGATAGTGCTAGTGTAAAACTAGAACTAACACTACATCTAGAACTAGAAAGCCACCTACCAGCCGTCTTAAGAGAGGTACGGCTAAACGGAATGTTTCTGGTGTTAGTTCTGGTGCTAGTGTTAGTCTAGTTTTATTACTTACTTATTGATACTTGATTGATTGACTGTTACTTATTGATTGACAAGAGTCTATCCATTAGTGTCACCTAGTTTTGTTCTCACGCACTGTACTCTGCTTTCCTACACAACACGCTACACAAGATCACATTTTTTTCTCTTCAACCTTCGGACAAAATGTTGTTTGTCCAGCAGTTGAAGAACCTCTGCGTTGTCGTGAAGAGGAAGTCTAGATTCGTGCTTTTCAGCAAATCTTTTAATTTCTTCCTTAATGGTTAGAACTAGAGATCTCTATTCATATCTGAATTTAGCACATACCAGAAGACAATAACTATGTTTCGTAGCACTTTATTCTAGAATATTTGAATACACTTGATGTTCAAATCACTCATTGATCTATTATATTTAGTTAACACTCAACAAAAGTATTATAATAATAACTATTAAAAAAAACAAAAATTGTATATGATTGATTTTACTTACTCTGATGGATTTGCATGCGTCTTTAAAAACGAGACGGTTTACAAAGCCTCCCGGTCCCTGGCTAACAGATAATACTACTAAACTACTAATGTCTATTCGAGACGGTGCGCTTAAAAAATTTTAAAAGTCTAAGCTTATTCAAGACTGAGTTTCGTACAAGTTACATCGCAATCTGGTAACATCAACAGTGCGGGTTGAAATGAAGGCATACTATAATTGCGCGTTACGCAGTAAAGATGCAAAAGCTCTTTGGAGAAAGATTAAACTTTTAAATATAAATAAAAAAATCGATAACAAAGTACCTAACATTTTTCTTCCAAACGATTTAAATAATATTTTGTTCACGGTGATTCTTCACTTTTTATTAAACTAATCCCGACATACCCATATTTTATCAAAATAATGTAAACCCTAGAGCGCAGATAATGCAAGCTTTTATGCCCGTTGGTGAACGTGAAGTATCTATAATAATTAATAACATTAAAGCTGCAGCAGTGGGTTCCGATGGTATCTCAGTCTGGATGATTGACTTGTGTACCCCTTTTCTCATTCTTTATATTACTCACGTAATAAATGCTGCTATTCATCAATCAGTTTTTCCGGATGCCTGGAAGATGGATGAAGTAATTGCGTTACCTAAAGTATTTTCCCCTTCTGCTCTAAGGAATTTTAGACCGATCAGTATCCTACCAGTAATGTCAAAAAATTTAGAGAGAGTCTTGGAAAGGCAACTTAGAACACACTGCAAAAGTTGTAATATACCGCCAGGTCCACAATCTGGGTTTCGTTCGGGCTTCAGCTGCACAACAGCTTTATTGAACCTTACTGATGAGGTATTTGCTTCTAAAGAGGCCGGGCAAGTCGCACTTTTGTTATCGTTGGACTTCACCAAAGCATTTGATACAATAAATCATAATATACTTGCATCTAAACTTCATTGTTTTGGTCTTGGAAATCAGACTGTAATTTTGATAAAGTCATTTTTGTCGGATAGGTCTCAGGTTGTGAAGATTAATAGTCAGATATCGAGCGCTCCGTCTGTTACTCGTGGAGGCCCTCAGGGGTCCATTTTGAGGCCACTATTGTTCTCTATTTATACATCTGATTTTAACCAAGTTCTTGAGCATTCGCAGATTCACTTATATGCAGATCATACACAGCTTCTGCTGAACTTTAATAAAATAAAGTTTAACTCAGGTGTAGCATTATTTTCTGATGTTGCAAAACGCCATGAGCTTGTGCTTAATCCATCTATAGATGCAAAACAGAACGGCTCTCTAAGGTTTATTTACGGAATTCGTAAATATGACCATATTAGTCATAAGTTGGCAGAGTCTGGGTGGTTGAACATGAAGAACAGACGTAAACTGCATGCAACTTGCGTTCATTATAAAATTATTAAAAGTCAACGGCCTCTACTTGCTGCAACGCCTATCTTTAGAAGCGATGTCCATAATATTAATGTAAGAAGAAAAGATGTATTAATGGTACCACGCCGCGCCTCGCGCCGATTCTTTTCCTACGAGATAGCCAAAACGTACAATGATCTACCAGTGAAGTAGTAAGTGGAAGAGCAGTTGGTTAATAACCAAACTGAACTTCGTGCAGAAAATAAGTCTACTTTCTAAGAATTTATTAATTTTTTTTTTTTTCTTGTTTGCGACTAATTAATAAAGGCATTTATGATTATTATTGTTATTGCTGAAACCAGACTTTATTTTTAGGATGTAAACTTCGCATTTCAGTCTATGTTGTAGATTTCAATATCTTCACAATGATCTGATGTGTTATTTGGAAAAAGTACTTTATAAATGAGATGAGTTACAAAAGATTACAACTGCTACATCAATTAGAAGTGTTGTTGNCAAAAGCTCTTTGGAGAAAGATTAAACTTTTAAATATAAATAAAAAAATCGATAACAAAGTACCTAACATTTTTCTTCCAAACGATTTAAATAATTATTTTGTTCACGGTGATTCTTCACTTTATATTCAGACTGATCCCGACTTACCCATATTTTATCAAAATAATGTAAACCCTAGAGCGCAGATAATGCAAGCTTTTATGCCCATTGACTCTTTCGTTGACATTTTTGTCGGATAGGTCTCAGGTTGTGAAGATTAATAGTCAGATATCGAGCGCTCCGTCTGTTACTCGTGGAGTCCCGCAGGGGTCCATTTTGAGGCCACTATTGTTCTCTATTTATGCATCTGATTTTAACCAAGTTCTTGAGCATTCGCAGATTCACTTATATGCAGATCATACACAGCTTCTGCTGAATGTTAATCCAAATAATTGGGATGATGCCTGCATAAAATAAAGTTTAACTCAGATGTAGCATTATTTTCTGATGTTGCGAAACGTCATGAGCTTGTGCTTAATCCATCTATAGATGCAAAACAATACAAAATAGAAGAACAAAAGACTTATAAGTCTTCTGTTTTGCGGTAGTGTCACAAGGAGAGCAAATAAACCTTTGATATCCGGTCAATTGGTGGTGGATGGCGAACCTCTTACTGTTTCTGATGATATAAAAGTTTTAGGAGTTACATTGGATCATCAGTTGAGGTTTGAGGAGCATGTGGCCAGGTGCTTGAGGGGTGGGCATGGCGCCCTCTATCTCTTATGTAACAAGTCAGAAAAGATATCTATATTTAATTCGGGGAAGTACAGAAATATTTTGGGAGTGGGGACAACGGATGACGGACTCGCGAAAAGAGGAGAGAAAGAAGAAGTTAGAGAGTGTGGTCGAGAGTTAGAGTAGAGGCATGGGTAAAGTGTGGGAGTGAAAAGTGGAAAAAGACTAAAAAAATTAAAAGAGAAAAATAAGAGAAGAAAGCAGAAGACAAAGGTGTCAATCAACCCAAAAACCATTATGTGAGTACGAGATAGAAATATTTACTGTTTTTTTGCTTTTTATTTATTTGATTTGTGTTTAAAAGAAATTAAATTAAAGTATCTCATTAATTAATTCAAAGTTTTATTGATCTCTTGTATTTTGTTTTTGTGACATCCGCCGCTTGATCCTTTCCCCCTTGTCTTTTGACACATTTGACCACGTTACGAGGCTCCTATAAAGAGTGGACCCGAGGAGAATACCCTTCTCCTAGAATATACTCGGGGGCCTCTTATCACCTCACGCTCGGGGGGTGGTAACACTTATATGCCCATAGGGATGTCTTAAATAAAAAATTATGCTGTGTGATAGCTTGGTTCTAAGCAAATTAAATCACTGCGACGTTGTTTGTGGTCCAAATTTAACGGGGGCGAGTGGGCATCGTATCCAGAACCTCCAAAACGGCTGTCTAAGGTTTATTTATGGAATTCGTAAATACATATGACCATATTAGTCATAAGTTGGCAGAGACTGGGTGGTTGAACATGAAAAACAGACGTAAACTGCATGCAACTTGCGTTTATTATAAAATTATTAAAAGTCAACGGCCTCCTTACTTGCTGCAACGCCTATCTTTCAGAAGCGATGTCCATAACATTAATATAAGGAGGAAAGATGTATTGACGGTTTCACGCCGCGCCTCGCACCGATCCTTTTCCTACGAGATAGCCAAAACGTACAAAGATCTACCAGTGAAGTAGTAAGTGGAAAAGCAGTTGGTTAATAACCAAACTGAACTTCGTGCAGAAAATAAGTCTACTTTCTAAGAATTTATTACTATTTTTTTTTCTTTTTTGCGACTAATTAATAAAGGCATTTATTATTATTATTGTTATTGCTAAAACCAGACTTTATTTTTAGGATGTAAACTTCGCATTTCAGTCTATGTTGTAGATTTCAATATCTTCACAATGATCTGATGTGTTATTTGGAAAAAGTACTTTATAAATGAGATGAGTTACAAAAGATTACAACTGCTACATCAATTAGAAGTGTTGTTGATAATGGGTGAGCCGACAAGTTGATACTCGATGCTTATAGATTTATTAATTAGTTCCCATTCATTAAAATATCGTATTTCAAGAACAGGATTTAAGATGTAACGACGAAATTAATAGGGTATTAAAGTAAATTTATGTAGAATTTATTAGTTTGAAAATCATTTCTTGAAATCTTCAAATTCCTTATTATAAATATTTATTATTATAAATGTTACTTATCTAAAGTTATCTGTTTTACAACCATTTTTATACATGTTTTTTATCAATAAATCATTTCATATTAGAATGGGCACCATTTCGTCGAAAATGAATATTTTTTGAAAATCCTACGTAGGATTCATTTTCTCAAAAAATATTTATTTTCTCAAAATTTCTCTAGTCATTGAGTTTAGAAAAGTAATCGTATTGAAGTTTGATTATTCGACTTCTGGTTTAGGAGAAATCCTGCACACCAATTGACCCTGCTCGATTTGCAAGCATTTTATCATTGCATAGATCTAGCGGGTACAATTTTAATAACTGTTAATAATTAAAATACATATTTAAAACTAAGAAAGAAAGCTCCTTATTAGAACCCTATAACGATGTATGCACTACATTTTTGGCGAGCGAAGAATAATTTATGGAGAAATGTATTTAAGATTTGGTGGAAGGTTTAAAAAAATTCGATACACTCAAATATACTGCTTCTTACTAATTTATTTCGACAAATTACAAACCCATTTACCAGTGATTGTCTATGTATGCAAGATATTTCATTTAATAGTGAGAATTGTGTTTGTGGGCCTTATAAAGCTTGTGGTGTCTAAGGTGACGTCTTGGAGCGCGACGTTGATTTTTGCCTTTTGTTGGATGGGTATCTTGACAAGCCCCCAATCCTTTACCATTTCCCTTGCAATTATTTTCGGTTGTCGTATCACTCTTGTCGTCCGTTGCCGTTGCTTCGGTATCTGGATTGCTGCCGGAAGACGTGTTTGGTGTAACTGACGATGTTTCGGTTTTATCATTGCTATCTGTTATTTCCTGGTTGCTTTCTGTCTCTTCAGTATCACTCTTGTCATCCGTTACCGGTACTTCGCTATCTGTACTGCTGTCGGAAGACGTGCCTGGTGTAACTGATGATGTTTCGGTTTCATTATTGCTGCCTACTGTTTCCTGGCTGGGTTCTGTCTTTTCGGTATCTGAACTGCTATCGGAAGACGTGCCTGGTGTAAATGATGATGTTTCAGTTTCATTAGTGTTGTCTGCTGTTTCCTGGCTGTGTTCTGTCTTTTCGGTATCTGTACTGTCGTCGGAAGACGAGCCTGATGTATCTGATGATGTTTCGGTCTCTTTCGTCGTTGTATCATCTGTTGGTACTACTGTTGCCTTATCTTTATCGGATGTGTCGGTTATTTCGCTTACGCTTCCTGAGGACTGGGAATCGGTACTCGACGATGTACCTGGTGTAGTTGATTGACTACCTGATTCACTATTGCTAGATCCTTCTATAGTGGTTCCATCTTCATTATTGTCGCCTATGAGTATAAGAAAGCGATTTTATCAAGACTATTCATATCGATGCGATTAAGCATACTTACATTTCTTTAAAGAGACTTCAAATTCCATGATAAGCGACAAGCAATTTTTCACTAAAAAATAGATTTGGTGTTTCTGTAAAAGGAAATTAATATCTTTTACGTATTACACTTACATTTCAGAACAGTTTCAGACCAACAGCTTGGAAGAGAAAATAAGGGTAAACCACTCTTGATGTTTTCGAAGCTTTCAATTGCTAGCTGAAGTGATACATAAGAAGTTTTTATCAACCCTAGGGAGATTGATAATGAAAAGTCGAATTTAAAATCGATAGCGCATACTCTTGTAATTTGCAGTTTCGTTTGAGCCCAAGTAGTAGCTTTGACTGTTGAAGAAATAGTTTAAGAATTATAATTAAATTTTCTGGACGCTACAATTAATTTCTTACATGTTGTGAGTAATGCAGACCCACACATAGCTTGATCGACTTCATTCACACTTTGTGCTATCAAATCCAAATTCAGTTTTAATGAAAGACAACTAGTGCGTTTGGCGATGTGATGTCTTGCATGGTGATGTTTTGCACCATGGTGGTGTTTTAAACCATGCTTGTGCTTTTTATGATGGTGTTCTAAACAAGATAAAATTTTATTACATAAATACAGTAAATACTTATTAATTATTATTCTTACCAATAGCTAACGTAGTTGTTATGCAAATTATCAAAAGTAAGAAAGCTAAGTTAAACTTCATTGTTTAGCTCTTCACCTGTTTCTTAGAGAAGTAAAACCAAAGTAGTTAACATTATGGTGCTTGCATGCTCTTTTATACGCAAAATTTAGAATTTTCTCACTCATTTTTTACATTGTTTTTGCTATTCAGCGGCGATAAGAACCTTTAGAAATGACCGAAATGAGTGCTATTAGTTATTTACTTCTTAATGTGTCTTTGATGATAAATGAAACATTGCGACATGCGTTTTTGAATGTTTTAAATGAACCGCGTTGATAAGCCTAACAAAGGAAAATGTTTTAGATAAGATATTTTGACGTGAAAAATATTCTTCTTGAAATAATAATTTATCATTTTCAAATTGACAAGACTGTAGTTAAACCAAAATTATAGCTATATGTTTTCTTAAAGAGGAAAGTGTAAACAGGTTGATACAAAAAATCATTTCATTATTTTCAAAAATAAAACCTCCACGATTTCATGAATTTCGTTATCTATTTCTCATGATTCACCAAAAATCTTTAAAACGGATCTTTACTTTAAAATTTTTCTGAGGAATATTTATGCTGCGAAAACCATAACTTTTATATTTCCCAGAAGATAGCTTAAAAACGATATTAAAATTTTTTCTTAAGTTTCATAAATGTGAAGTGTATTAATTTTTACATTCAACAATTATTCTCTAATTTTATCTTAAAAATGAGGCCAAACCGAGACAAAACCTTTAATATTTATTTTCTATTAACTTTGATTGAAGGAATTACAATTCCATCAACCTCAATTCCTGTTGTTTCCGAATTTACTGCCAAAACAGATCAGACGCCATCATGGACATCGAAAGCCGAATAAAAGGAGAGAGGTAATAAAGAAATATAGAAAAAAAGGAGATAATTAATGTTCTTAAAGAATTCTTAAAACATTTTTTTAACTTTTATCTAAAATATCGCAAAATTAATCACTATCCCACACCTGCGCTTCGAACACTTAGCATGTAGTCTACTCAGTCACTGTAGCTATGAGCCACTTCAATCTGCTGAGATGTCATTCAACGAAATACGTCGTTAGCAAGTATTGGAAGTGCGGCTTCCTTTAAACAAGGTTTGACGTTTCGGATGCCATGATGCAACCTTCTTCAGAAACAAGTTCGATGTGACGAATTCGTTTTAAAATTTGACAATAAATACAGGAAAAGGAAATTAATAACTAATTAGTGTCTAATTGTCAACTAAGTTGTTTTGTCAAATCCGGGTGGAGAAGGCTTCGTTGAGTTCACCAACATCTTCCATGTGCTGCTGAGTTCCCAGCCATCTTCTCTATTCATGTTATTCCCATGTCGATGAATCTCTATCGCCTCTCTCGTCAATCTTTGGAAATAATGTCCGTTTCTTGCTACCACTTTGGTCTTTTCGAACTCTATGCTGTGTCCTCCTTTGTGGCAATGCTCTGGGACTGCAGATTGTTGGATCTTCCTTAGTCGGAGGTCTCTTTCGTGTTCCTTGATGCGGCACTCGATGTTACGTCCAGTTTGGCCAACGTAATATTTCCCGCAACTGCAAGATAGCCGGTAGACTCCAGCTCCCTTTAATGGGGTTAGTTTGTCTATGGCTATCGGAAGAGCGTTTTGTATTTTGCTGACCGTACCGTATCGTACCACGATATCATTCTTCTTCAGACGCCTCGCAATTCGCTCCGTCACACCTGAAACATAAGGAAGGCAGATAAAACCGGCTGGTGTCGTACTTACCGAGTCATACTTCTGTTTGTGTGGTTTGGTGGATCGTCGAATATCTCTCATCGTGTAGCCGTTCTTCTGCAGAACATCTTCTAGGAATCTTTCTTCTTTTCTTAGGTTCTCTTTATCGCATATCCTCTCTGCTCGCTGGAATAAGGCTTGAATCACGGACCTCTTCTGTTGTGGGGGTACTGTGAATTGAGGTGGTCTAGAAATTCCTGGAGTTGCTCTTTTCCATGTTGCCAGATCACGAAAGTGTCATCGACGTAACGGAGCCATAGCTTCGGTTTCCAAGGACTCTTCTTTAGCGCCTCCTCTTCAAACATCTCCATGTAAAAATTGGCTATCACAGGAGACAAAGGTGATCCCATGGCTGCTCTTTCGCATTGCTCGTAGAATTCCCCCTTCCAACTGAAATATGTCGACGATAGGCAGTATTCCACTAGTCCTGGGACATACTTGGGCAAACCCTCCGGGATGAGTTTCGGGCGAAGACCATCCACGGCATCCTTGGTACTCTGGTGAATAGAGATTCCACATCAAAACTTACCAGCATATCCTGAGGGTCTAGCTTCATACTCCTAATTGATTCTACAAAATGTGTGGAATCTCTGACATATGACTCTGTTTTACCTGTAAAAGGAGACAGAATCTTGGAAAGGTGTTTTGCTAGTTGATAGGTGGGAAAATTTATGGCACTGACAATAGGGCGTAGTGGGACGTGTGGTTTATGGATTTTGGGTAATCCATATATCCTTGGTGGTACTGGAGCCTGTACGAACATTTTTTCAAAAAACGCACGGCTTATCCCGAAAGATTTTAGTTCTAGGTCTAGTGTTAGTTCTTGTGATAGTGCTAGTGTTAGTTCTAGTTTTAGTTTAATTAATATCGGCCGTGAAAGCCTTCGTACTTATATGAAAAAGTTGACTTTAAAATACTAAAGGTTGTTAAACCTATTTTCATTAAGCCAAGGCCTGTGCCTTTTGCATTTCATAAAGAAATTGAAAAAGAACTAAATGCTCTAGAGAAAAAGGGTGTTATAACCTTAGTAAATTATAGTGAATGGGAAACTCGTTTATTTCCAGTAATTAAAGAAAATCGTAAGAATCTGTGTTGATTAAAATCAGTGTAAATAAGTTTATTGAAGATATTAAACATCCTTTGCCTAGGATTGAAGAACTAAGCATTACAAAGCAGTCAAAGTTTTTCAAAATTATATTTTAAAAACGCTTATAATCAATTAGAATTAGGGGATAAAACAAAAAACTCTTAGAGTGGAGTACTCAAAAGAGGATTTATGTTCCGCATAGATTGCCGTATGGCACAAAACCTGCATGTTCATTGTTTTAAAGAATCGTAGAAAAGGTAGGTATTTTGGTAACTGGCAAAAATGAGAAGGAACATTGGGAGGCGTTAGAACAGGTTTTTGGAAGACTACCTATATGATTCTGGTTTCAAATTGAATCTCGAGAAAAGTCCAAAAAGAAATCAGGTACCTAGGACATATTATCAATGCACAAGGATTGCATAAAGACCCAAATAAGATTAAAGCTATTGTTGATGCAACAAATCCGAAGAACGTGACAGAATTAAAAGCTTTCTTGGGAAAGGTAAATTATTATTGTAAATTCATACCCAATATCACTACGATTTTAAATCCTTTGTATGATTTGTTAAAACCTAATAATTTTAATTGGTGTTCAAGGAGTGATAAGGCATTTAAAAAAATTTAAAAGTTAATGAGTATGGAGAAACATTTGATACATTTTAATCCAACAAAAATAAAATAAAACTGGTTTGTGACGCTTCAGGTGTTGGAGTGGGGGGCGCTTTATTACACGTGCATTAGCTATTTACTGGTCAATGAACAAATTTTATCAATACTTAATGGGTAATGAATTCTTGTTACAATCAGATCATAAGCCTTTACAAGCACTGTTTGACAAAAACAAAGGTATTCCACATTATTTTACAGCCATATATTTCCAGAATTGAAGGTGTTAGCTGTTTGTGCGATAACACTATAAGGTTGTTAGGCTATACATATTAAAATATTTCATAATTCTTGCTATTTAAACCATATTTGCATCAATTCTTTCCTATTGAAAATTTCTGTTCAAAATATACAAAGGAAATAAAACTATTTTTAGTGCATAAAATTCTTTAAATTTTTGGCATTTGTAAGTTGTTAGTGCATACTTTCCTGATATATATCTAGACACACGAAATAAAAATTTGAATTCTGGAAATACGACTTGAAACATGAATGATGCAAAAACACACCATTGGGATGATGTATGATGAGATATAAGGATTACAACATCTTTCTATTATCAGAAACGTTAGTTATGCTATTACTCTCTGTAGTAAAAATCCTCATGGTCATCGGATATTTTTTGACAATTTCTTTTCATCGTTTGATTTGTTTGCTGAATTGAAAAATAAACGTTTCTTTGCTACCGATACTATAGGCGATAACAAAAACAAAAATTGTTCGTTAGAAAACATAAAATGTCTTTCAAAGAAATAAAGGGGATTTTTTGATGCAGCTTATGATACCAGTTCAAAAATTTCTTTAGTACGATGAAATGATAACTCCGTTGTCACTGTAATTAGTAATCATCTGAATGTAAAACCAATACAATCAGTTAAGAGGGACAATAGAAAGAAAGAAAAGGAAACACTAGGTAATCAACCTTATGCGATATCAGAATATAATAAATTCATGGATGGTGTGGATTTACACGATAATGGAATAGGCAACCACAGAACGAGAATATTAGGAAAGAACTGGTGGTGGCCACTATTTATTAATTCTTTGGATAGTATCATAATAAATGCGTGGATATTGTACAATGCTATTAATAATACTAAAATGGCACAATTGGTTTATAATTATATATCGCAGTTCGGCTAATGAAATATGAAAACGCAACACTAGGTCAAACTCAGAATTTAAATATTTCAACGACCATTTTATAAAGACTCACGAGTCTAAAGCTCGTAGAAGATGCAAAATATGTCATAAACATACTATACATATGTGTAATAACACTAATAAGTGTAGCGTTCATTTACATGTAGAGTGCTTTGTGAAGTATCACAATAAATGATTATACTGTTCATCCCATTGCATTGGTGCGTTTTTGCACCAATTGTAGTATAAGTTGGTATTTGTTAGTATTTTTTTGTGTTGTTGTTCATTTATCTTACCAGTCTCCCATCTCATATCCCAAAAACAAATTTTTTTTTCAAACGCCTATGTACAGGGTGTCCCAATTTCGATGTCCGCACGACTGTCCTTGTTACAAACTTTGGCAATAATTGAAAACAATGTTTTCCCTCATGGTATGGTTATCACCATAACAACATTAAGTTTTAAATACATACAATAGTTTTAGAAAGAACAAAAAAAGTTGATACATTATATTCCAGGGGTGGCCAAGCTCCTTGATAGTCCGAACCATTTTTCAAAATTCGATTATTTTAAGTCATAGCCAACTGGTTTCCATTTAAAAAAATAAAGTTACGCCTAAAATCTCGAAAATAAAAGATGAGAAAAAAATTCTTCCTGCACCACTGAATTCTTCGTAAAAAGTTGCCCATATAATGTTTTATTTATAATACTCCATCGTTAATAATAAGTGAGATATTCGCGATTGTCGTTTTCGCAAAATTTTCAATTTTTGCCGATAGGGCGAAAACAAAAGATGACAGCTGTTCGCAGTTTTCGGCATTAGCATTTTCTTGAAAAACGAGATCATGACATGTAAGCTACTTTTTTTCTATCTCTTTTAGTTTCGGAGATAGCCTATGCGGACATCGAAAGTGGGACACCTGTACATTTTTGTACTTTTCATTCCATCTTATTTTAAAGACAATTATAAAAAACCGATTTTTTTAATATAAAGTAGCATGGGACTAAATGGGTTAAGGGAAAAAGCAATGTTCTAGTTGATGGATTGTCAAGGTTACCAGTAAATTAAGAACGACCCGAAGAGAAACGCGATGATTTTAATTTCCTAGTTAAAGAGAATATACCACTTATTGTTAGTAGAAAGAACATAGCAGATCCTATAAAGACGACATTTTGTCTAAAGTAGTAAATTACACTCGATCGGAGTGGCCTGATGAGGTGTTGGATATACAGTGGTCCATTTAACGTGAGACAAGCGATTATCTAGAAAACGGTACATTTTACATAAAAATGAACCAAATGAATATACAGGTGTATCTGAATGACTGCAACAAACTTCAAGGGGTGATTCTTTAGTGAGTTTTAAGGGTACTTTGATATATGAACCATGGGCGACTTCGGCTCCCCTAAGGAGCTACACCCCTTCAAAAATGGCGGAAAATTTTGGTATAATTTTTTTTTCTCAAAAACCATAAACGCTAGGAAAATGAAATTTGGGGAATATGTTTAAGTCATAATAGGGTACGTTTTGACCCTATTTGTACTTTCAACCTACCCTTCTAAACTACTAAACGTAACTACCCCCTTTGCATTTTTGCTAAAATTTTTTTTATGCAGATGATAAATACATTAGAAAAATTTTACATAGATAGATGAAAGTATTCTACAACTTTTTTGTCTTGTTTAAATGGTTTCAACACGATGGGTCACCATTACTTAATAAGCTGGCCGTATGAAATCATAGAAACTTACGTTTGCAAACGTATCTATCAATTGTTTCCATGGAACAGTTTACAAATTAAAAGAATAAATGGTTATAATTTTTTTATTAATAAAAATATCTATGTCAAGTGGTATATCATCAAAATCGTTGAGAAAATGTTTTTTTTTATAAAGTATGGCCAACTATGGTTTCCATTAGAAAAATTACAAATTAATGTCATACCTCAAAAATTGATTTTTCATCCATTCACTTAATGCTTGACGGAGACATTATTCCGCTGTCAGACACGGTTAGAAACCTTGGGGTGGTTATGGATTCTACAATGTCCTGGAAACCTCAAATTCAATCCGTCTGCAGAAAGGTCTATCATTGTTTTCACTCACTGAAAAGTCTTCGTTCCTTCCTTCCTCCCATGATCCGTCG